CGGTCCCGCATGCTGGCTCTTACGGAACCGACTAACTCCCCTTGTGTGTATGTACAGCTCTCAACATGCCCAGACTTGGAGTGATTTTTCCGCCTCATTCTGAAAGAAAGAAGTGAAACGTGCCAACGTGACGGCCGTCTTGGTGTGTGGTGTGAGACGGGAGATGTAGGTCATTGAGTGGTTTCACACAAAAAAAGTGTTACTTCACAGTTTTACGACACATTTTTATTTTTTTGACTTGCAAAATGATCTTTTAAATTGACAAACATCATATGTGTAATTCGTGGCACAATTCAAACGGGATCGAAAGATAATCTTTCTCTCTCCATTGACTTCAATGCATACTTTTTCCGAAATAAGGTCCCATGGAGGTCCACCGGAAAGGGAGGGACTTCGCCTCTCTATCTGCTTTGTAACGGATGCTCTTCGACGGGACTTAGTACATAAACACCGCACAGTGGATCACAGTCTGGGCCCTCAACTCATATTTACCCAAGGACCCTCCGAGTGTTTTAATATGTCCATTTTTGTTCCTCGCAGCCTTTCCATATTTCCTCAGTGGCACAGGACATGTCTCTCTCTATTTCTATACTATAAAGCCTCTGAGTGTTTCACCTCACCTCCTTTGTCTTCAACCCGACTATTCTGCTGCAGTCTCAGTGTGTTGCAGTGTGTGGAGACCTGATTGCTGTTGCTGTGATGAATAACTGCCCTCTGACCTTTTGTGAAAGGTGTTTTTGATCCACTTCAGGCAGTCATGCCTCTTGCTCACATCACAGTACAATAAAATGAGTGCAGCCATATATAAAGTTAATTCTTCCTAAATGCAGGCCAACCATTATATTCGCAAAGAGCGTAAGATAAAGCTCAGGGTATTCAGCGTCAAGCTTCCCCCTTTTCAAAAGATACCAAGGATCTTTCATTTAGAAATATGAACTAGCATGCTAGCTTGTATACCTTGCTGCACTAAAGAAAACGTCTCCCAAAAGCAACACAAGAGCAATTATAATACATTGATCCAATCCATATGTGTAGCAAGTTCCTCGCATTTCTTTTTATGTACAGAAATCCATTTTCCATTAGGAGGGCATTGTAGAGTCGGTATGCTCCTTATACATGGAGTTATTTGAAGGTTTGAAGGCTTTCACATGACAAATGTAGCCTTGTTATTTGTATACCTCCAACTTTTGTCAATAGTTGCTGTCATGTTGAAGAAACCTACAGTAATCTCTTTTGATCACTCAGTGTAAACCAACCTATAGAAGGGAAATTAATAACCGAGAAAGATTAATGGAACTTAACCCTGAACCAATCTGGAAACTGAAAGGCTGTGAGAATTAGAAATAAAAATAAATAATTAGATGGTTATTGCTTTTTTTTCTGCTTCTACTTGAACAGGTCGGCTGACAGCTACCGTCTGGAGCACAGAGTGGGTCTGGAGGACGTCTGGATTTACGGTTTCGAAGATGAACTGGAGGAAGAGGAAGGACAAATGGGGGATATTGATCTCAGAGTGACCCTCGTCCTCGCCTGGCACCTCACGTTTTTTGTGGTGTGTTTTTGGTGAGCAGCAAAACACTTGCATACAAACAGCAGCGTATTAAGATTCATTCCGTGCCTGAATACACATGTGCAAGCATGAATGTACACATGTGTGTCTGTGAGCATCTTCACTTTATTGTCATCCTTCCTCTTACACTCTAATCCTGCTCTTAACTGGATCCTTGACCCCAAAATATAAATTAACCTCTGATGAGGAGGAGGATTTACTTAAAAGCTCTGTGTGACATTTAAAAATTGGGCTTGTAAATAGGGCTGCAAATAGAATCACAATTTTATTTTTTGAAGAATTGATGGGTTTAATCATTTTTCCCCTACAAAACGCAGCAAGACTTAAACATGAGGAAATGACATGTTTTCAGTTTTTCATGTACACCACCCCTGGTTGTTGTAAGAGTGACTGCTGTGTACTCTAACATACAAACATGTGATCACACTTGTGATCAGATGTCACTTCCTCACTCTATATGTTAATGTACGTCTGACAACAAAGCTAAGACAAAAGGGACTAACTGTAACGATATCACAATATACAACTACAAAAGAGTAATAAGGGATCTTTAGATGGGCTGGATTTGTGTTAAAGGTCCCCTATTATACTGTTTTTCATCAATATATTATAGGTCTCAGATATATACAAAACATGTCTCTGAAATGTTTGGCTCCAAATACCAAACAGCATCCCATAATCCCCTCTGTTTCAGCCCTGTTTCAAAAGAGCTGATTCTCTGTCTGTTACTTTAGATCAGGGGTCTCCAACACGTCAATCGGGCAGCTTTTCAGTAGCTCGCCGCTCGATTATCGATTATAGCGTAGTAAGGTTGCTTCTTGATTTTTCGGCCGCGGCTGGACAATAACGTTTTTTTGTTTTTTAATGACACGAATATCAAATTGGTCGGTGACGCAGAGATCAAGGAACAGACGTGACAGCGGCACAGCGACACAAGGATTTGTGTTTTTTTTAAAAACACTCGTTATCGTCATGTCAGGTTTTTGGTGGATTTAATCAAGTCTTGGATTGCAGAGTATGAATGTCCTCTTGCTATTTTCAGTTGATAAATACGTGTGTAAAGTTTGTGAAGGCAGGAGGAAAAAGCCTCCGCGATCACCGTCTCCTCTGTTCCTCCAAACCCCGCCCCCCCCTGAAAATAATGAGTGACAGGCTGATAGTAACCTGATAGAAACTTTATTATTCACTTAATCACTGATTGAGATATGATGAAGCTAACTTAATCTCATACATTCATGGGATTTATGTAACAGTAAGACAGAGAATGTAAGTGTGCACCCACATGCACTATTTTAGTTTGTATGCTGTTGTAAATACTCCTGTTGTCTGCTATGTTCAGACTCAAGTCATGTGTGTGATGCCACATGCAGGACCTTCAGTGTCCTTTTTTTAAACAGAAGACCGTTGCTAGAAGCTGCAGCTAGACTGCAGAATTATTAGTTTTTTGTTTTTGAGGATGGAACAATTTCACACACAGATATAGGGAGGCTAGACCTATACAATTGATTTATTATGGTTTATAATATCATGTCATGACGAAGAAAAAGAAGGCTGAACTGTTCAGTGTCAATCCTGTGGAGATGGAGATGGAGGTTATACATCTCCAAAATCATGTTCAGCTTAAGTCTCAGCAAAACTGGAGCCTTGCAGACCCAGACAACTATAAGAACATTCACCAAGCAGCACTGAACATGTCTGCTTTATTTGGCTCTACATACCTTTGTCAAGCAGCTTTTTCTGACATGAACGAAATCTAAATACAGAACAAGACTGACTGAGTACTAAGTGGACACTCCAGCACACACCTCTATGGTGGACTCCATGCAGTGCCATTCATCTCACTGACTGTAAAAAAGAGTGAATGCACTTATTTTACACATGTGCCATAAGATGCTTGTCAGGTAGTGATTAAGGACATGTATGTGAATGTTCAGTGTAGTACTCACTATGTGGGCCACAATAATATGTGAGAAATTGTCATTTTCTTGGACCTTGATGTGAAGTTAAGATTTTTGATAAGCTTTAGGTATTGCAATTTCACACGTGTACAAAAGTAGCTTAATTCAACAGATGAGGGCTATGGGAATAAATGTAAGCGATGTGATGGAAGTAGCTCTTGGCCACTTTCATTTTTTCAAAGTAGCTGGAGACCCCTGCTTTAGATGAAAATAAGGAGCCACTCCCCACGCCCCTCTGTGAGATATTTGGTAAAAAAAAGAACCCAATGGTGCTCTAGGAGGAGATTCGGTGATAAGGTGGGGGGGGGGGGGGGTTACCTTGGTTGGTTATTGGCTAATGGTTACACAAGCCAAAAAATCGTTATGACATCATAAAGTGGCCAAAATCTGATCTGCTCATTTTCAGACAGGTTTTTATATAAATGGATCAGGACAAAAAGTGCGAGAATCTTTTTTCCTGAAACTTTCAGAATCTCTTGGGACACATGTTGATGTAGAAAAGATGTGAACAAGTGGATTTTGCATAATAGGTGACCTTTAAGCTAACTGGCTGCTGATAGTAGCTTTAGGTCAGATATTGCCATCAAATCATCAAACTCTTTATTTTATTTCCAAAAGGGCCTTTAGGTCAACTGTTTTCCAAATGTGTAAAGCACACAAACACAGCCCTTCTGTTACTTGTTTTCCTTTTTTTCAAAGTTATTAGAAATCTGTAATGTAATAGTCACTTGTAGTAAATGTCATATGATCTGTGGCCTTCATGAAAACAGGGAAGTATCAAAGAGAAAGTCACAGAATCACAAGACAAGAGGTTACACAATCAGCAGGGGATTAACAGCACATGACTTTATCTAGAAATACTGGCCTTTACAATAACTATGAAGGGCAGGAGAAAAGCTCTCCATCTCATGTCTGCTGTCTAGACTGTGAAATCAACTAAAACGATTTTTTTATATACAACTCATCAAAGTCACCTAATAGCACAAGTGGAGAGTCATTTCTCTAATTCACTGACTCCCACATTTCTCACAAAGCAGAAAATGTTTTAGTTTTTGACTCAATGCGTTTTCCTAGAAGTTGATTATTCCCCAGGTGAGATTTCAAATGTTGCCAGTTATACTCTGTCTGTGATGGTTTGTGTCTGGTGATGATTCAGTGTGTGAAAGTTTCCTTCTCACTCACATGGAGGTGGCCATAGACGAGAAACATTGTGCACACTTGTTGACATTTGATACTGCGATATGGCTGGCATTAGTGCTGCCACGGTGAAAAAAACTCTTATCACATGGTGAGGCTCCTCAGGTGCAGGCGCACGTTTCTCTTTCGTCACCATGTTTCCACCAGTGGACGCAGAGCCGCAGCAAACTCTGCAAGGAGGAAGTGGAAGAAGCTTGTTGGGGCCCGCCGTGACGCTGCTTCCTGTTCCCATGACTGTGTTACAGTTTCCAGAGTTGTTAAAAGAGGCCGTGGGTGCGCACGTTGTCTCAGTCGTCCCACTGCATCAGGTCTGTTTGATTCTCTCTGTGGATTAGTAACTCAAACCATGCTGTTATTTCGCCCACAGTTCGCCTGAGGTCAAAGAACGCTGGTTAGATACTCTTCACAGGTAAGAAACAACTTTATTTTCCTTTTATAAATGGAAATGTTATCATAATATCCTTACATTATCATAATAGCGAGATTAATAGTACTCAAGCTGCATTGTTAAACCATTTTGATCAATGTTGACCACACTTCAGGGAGTACACAATCATCAGCTAGAGTCAATTAATATCACTAAAAGTCTGTTTAAATCGTATTTAGAAACATAGCTCTTTCAAATATACATTTTTGTGAACATGATGTCGGTAACAGCAGTATGGCATGTTCGGATAATTAAGAACAGTGTTCATTCTGTCACTAATAATAAATAAATATGACTAAATAAGTACATTCATTGTGATATTGATCTGTTGTAAAGTTGATAGACAAAAGTGTCAAATACCAGACTTTTTGTGCGCTTGTGTTTGATCTAAAATGCAAAGCCAACAACGTGTGAATACTCAGGCAGAGTTTTGCAAAAGAGTTGAAGGACAAATAATAATGAATATGTGTATTCCTCACTCCAGGAAAATTAAAGAAGCAAAGGCTGGTTGTGCTTCTTCCCCCCCAGACGTCCTCATGAAGGTTTTGAGTGGCAGCATCACGGTTAGTCTCTCACTGAGCCTGTCCAATAGGAACCACAACATATTTATACTCAGAAAGAGCTTTTACTAAATAATATCCATCCCCATCTCTCATGTTTCTTTCAGACTAAAACTCTGACAGGAGGTGGCATGGAGCAATTCATCGACTTTCCACTTGACGTAAGTTAAAAACCTCATTTCACTGGCTTCTTGATATAAAAGGTATTCAAGCGAAAAAGCTTGTTTGTGAAAAACACCTGCACCTTCCCCTCATGCTGAATTGGAGGACATATGTGCAAGATGCCTCTGAACGTGTATTTACTGTAGCTGCAAAAACACAGTTGTACCACAATTCAAAAAAAGGTTTTATATTTGAAGATGATAATAATGATGCATCTGATTGACTTATGGTTATTTCAACTCATTCACATGTCAGTAGTCATGAATGGCGAGTGTGTGTGGTGCGTTAAAAAAACACACACCCCGTCCCTTCCGTCCTCTTGCCTTGCTCATTGTTCCTGTTTCACACTTCCCCACATGACTTTTTCTTTATTTTGTTGCCAGGGCGATGCAAAGATCTCCGCAGTGTCAAAGCAGTTGGTTAACCAGGAGGACAAGACTCCCATTGGTGAGTTTGAAAGAGGCAGTTTGGAAGGAGGGTGGGGCTGGTTAATTGTGAAGAGGTTTGACCACAGAGAACAACCAGAGACAGAAAAGGGGAAATCTACTGATAGGAGTGTAGAAGTGGTGGTTTTTTTGTAACACATTGGCACTATGGCCTATAATATTGCAGATCGTGGGTTGTTGAACTCATTTTAAATCAGGAAGAAGTATATAATATTTAATAAAGACGTTTGTGCTCTCCTCAGAAACCAAGTGGAAGCTGGCGCGGCGGAGACTCGGCTCCAGTTTCATCAACAAAGCGAGACGATCAGAAACCGAGAGAAAGAATCAACTCTTTGGACGGCCCCTCTGCAAAATATGCCCTGATGAATGCTCACTTCCTAAACCAGTCACAGTAAGTTAACCTCAAATGTCAGATCTCATCACTTCCTCTTGCCAGTCAAGTTTTCGATCAGGCGGAACAAAAAGAGCTTGATGGCTTAGTCCCAAAACTATTTCTCATGTCACTGCTTTGTGCAGCTTTTCCTATTATTTTAAGGAATATGACCACTGAATGCTCACTATAAGCCACTGCAGTCAACACAGTGTCATTAGGCAAGATGTACACCTCAATTTGCCTAAGATGGTGTGGCCAACATGTGTGTGAATGTGTGGCACCTTGTATAGCACACTCTTCCACTATAAATGTGTGTGTGTGTGCTGACTGGTATATGTAAAAGCACTTTGAGTTGTTGCTAAGACTGGAGAAGCAGGATTATAATGCGGTCCTTTGACCAATTACCTAAAACATGCACCTTCTTAGGTGAGCTTTGATCTTTTTGGAATCCGTTAATAAGGGCAGCCAACCATGCGAGTGCTTGATCTGCACGTAAATTAGTGTCATCACAAAATGCCATGCTTTGTTACCTTGTTCTCACCTCTTTCTGTCCCCTTCCTTTCACCAGGAGCTGCTGGTGTGGCTGAGGAAGAGAGGGCCGTCCACAGAGGGAGTGTTTCGGAAAACGTGCAACAACAAGAAGATGGTGGACATCAGGGAGCAGCTCAACAGCGGCATGGAGGTGGACATGGAGAGCCAGCCGGTCGTCCTGCTCGTCGGGCTTCTCAAAGTACGTTCCTGCCCTGATCCCATTTTATATTATACCACTAGGAGTGTCTACGGGTATTGACAATAACCGTCATATTAAATATTAATATCATGTTAGTAATATTGTGTAAGTAACGTAGCGCCTCTTAAATAATTTCCCTTTTGTTTTTATGGCAGATGTTCGTTGCATTTTTACTATTAGCTAGTGTCATTTTTTGTTTTCGTTGTTGTACGGTGTACAGTCATGGTTAAATACCCTCTCTAATAATTTGCCGAAACTAAATGCAAAACAAACAAAGTTAAAGATACATTTGACTGACGGCATTATTCTTTTCTATAGATGTCATCATCAAATCATTATTGTGAGTTATTTGGGCTGCAATAGTACAGTAGTTGAAAAGATGACTTCGCTACCACTATACAATTCACTGTGAATCTTACTCCTATATATTTATATACCTATTACCAATAAAGGCCTGGCTACACATTTAGCATTCATCTAACTACTATTTCACCTGATGCTTCTGTATGTGACCATTACCACCATGACCACAATTCCTCAAATATATCAATGATACTATTACTACTACCACAGAAGTACTCGGATACAAATGAAAATACCAAAGGCTTTATACAACCAAAGGCATAGTGGAGTAAAATGTTGATTAAAAGCATAGATGGAAATATTCAGGTAAAATAACTCAAAATGTCACATATTGTAAGTACAGCACTTGGTTATTCTCCACCAGTACTACTACTACTCCTACGATATTTATCATCATTTAATTAACATTATACACAACATGTATTTCAGTCAGAACAATATGCGATACCTTTTATGTTTTTCTTCCTACTCACCCAATCCTACAGATAGAATTTTAGAAGCATCAGATATTTTGTATTGATGAGCACTGTGTCTTACCACCGTCCCTCTCTTGATCCTTGCAGAGTTTTCTGAAGGAGCTTCCTGGCAGCCTGCTAGTGTCTGAACTTTATGACAAGTGGATGGCGGCTCTGGACATTGAAGACAGCCAGCAGAAAGCTCTGGAAACCAAAAAGTAAGAGATGAATGTTAATGAGTCTAGACAGACACTGCCCTTAAACTGCAGATGTGACCCCTCAGTGTGTAATTATACATTACATTTATACATGTTTTTTGAGTGGAATTTTGCAGAACATTCCCAATGTCCACCATATATAGACTGAACACAAACCACTTCTCCTTTTTAAGTCTGTCTAGATTTAAAAAAGGAAGAAACCTATTTTTTTTTTTTTTTTTTAAAAGAGCGCCAAGCTAATGTGTTCTTCCTGTTCTCTTTTTTCCTCTTCCTTCCCCCTTTCTGCTACCCGCCTACAGGGTGGTAGATGAGATCCCGGGGCCCAACAAACTCCTCCTGCAGTATCTGCTCTGCGTCCTCCATCACATCCTGGAGAACGCTGCCTCTAACAAGATGGACGCCCACAACCTGGCGGTGTGTATCGGCCCGACGCTGCTGCAGCTGGACGACACCCCGCTGGAAGAGCAGAAGGAAAAAACCGAAAAAGTAAAGAGAACTGTTATGACTGTACTTTCTCCTTTTGGTGCTTTGAAGCTTCGTGGTTTCTTGGTGCAGAAAACCTCAAAAGGTTTCATAAGATAAGATGACTCTTCCACAGAGTTTTGTAAGCTGTTTGTTTAGTTAAGAGCTTATCTTACCTAAACAAACTGTTTGTTTTTATCTGATTTCTATCTGGTAACTTTGCTAATAGTTGCTTATTGTCTTATTTGTTGCAGGTCTCAAAGCTAACCAAGTACCTGATTGAGCATTGTGAGATCGTTGGGGAGAATATCCCAAATCTGCTGGATACTGATGAAGGTACATTACACCTCAATCAATGCTTTGTTTATTACTCTTAGGGACTGTACCTTTTTGTTATTTTTGAAAAAAAAACAAGGTTAGTCATGCCCTCACCCCTAATTCTCAATTTAACTCAGATTTTAACCTTAATATATTTAGGAAATAATAATGTTTACATGCTGCACTAGGAGGGAAATGGCCAAAACTCTGCCATAACTAATGGTGCATTGCATTTTGATTTAAATTCAATAAAGTAGCTGTGGCTATTGACAACAAATGTGCACTCTTTAAACATTCAAGGTTCATCAAAGCTTAGACATTGCTCCACTACAGTAGCAACAAAAACACAATTTACTGAGGTAAGATTGTTGCCCTCTATGATGCAGGACACACACAAAAGGCTGAACTATTCACCATTCAATCTCTCTATTCAATGAATTGTGCAAAAAATGGATTATTGTTGGAATTTAGAACATTTTATAATTGTTCTGGCTCTCTCAAACATGTTAGACCAGCCTCGCTTTATAAATAGCTAAACAAAAATAACCCTCCATATTTTTACTGACCCCACCTTCACCCTAAACATTTTCGTACAGTCCATAATTCAAGTGAAATTGAATTGCATACACACTTAGTAACACATTTTGAGATCCTAACCATGTCCTCCTGCTCTTGCTCTGCAGACTCGCTGTGCTCCCAGCACCATGACTCAGCGTACGACAGCACTGACCTGGATGGAGATGGAGAGAGCGGGACGTCCTCCTCCAGGGAGGGTTGTCCCAGCTTCCCCACCTCCTCCTGGCCCGCTGAGACCGAGTTCAACTCAAAATCACCATTCAGCCGCCGTTGCTCCGAGCCCATCATCCTGCTCTCAGCCGACCTGCACAGCCACTGCAGCCACTCCAGGAGCCACGACGACTGCTCGCTGGAGAGGACGCACTTTGAGGAGCAGCCACTCAGAAAGCAGATCTCCGACGACTCCTTCCTGCTCAGAGAACGAGGTGGAGCAAAACAGGTGTCCTTTCCAAAACTGAGCAGCAGCTCCAACATGGATCACCTGCCCTACATGGCAGCGAACTGCTCCTGCTCCTCTCTGGAGAGCGCCGCCTCGAATCAGTCAGAAGGCTCTGTTTTCACCAGCTCTCCCGTGGGGTCGCCAACCTGCACCCGGAGAGAAAACAAAACCATTGAGCAGGACATTCCAAGGCCGATTCCAGATGACAAAAAACGTTCACAGTCCATGAGAGTTGCCAGTAAAGTCCTCATGAGGACCAGGAGCTTAGGAGCCTTCAGCAGGGGCAGCTTGAAGAAGGACTCTCAGAAGGAAAACTCCTTCCCCTGTGAAACTCTGCAGGAGGACTCTCAGAGTGAAGCAGATCCACCGGCTGAGCCCAAACCTCGCCCTCTGTCCGCCTTTGAAGTGTTCAAGCAGGTGGACAGCAAGATCCCCTGCAGACCCCCGTCGTACATGCAGGCGGTGCAGAACGCCGGTTCTCCTCCACGGTACGGATCGATGACTGTACACGACGCCATCGAGCAGGGGAGAAGGTCCCGGCCATCCTCTGTAAATTATGACTTCCCAGGCACCAGCTCAGTCTGTCAGTACAGAGACTCTTTCCCTCAGGAGGCGCAGGACAACGCTAACGTCCAGCAGCGGCAGCCTTTCCGGCAGAGAGCGATGTCAGAGTCCGTGTCCGCAGGTCGCCGAGAGGCCGTGTCCCGGAGATGCAGCCAGCCTGTGTTTGAGGAATTTTGTTACGCCAAGGAGTCTTATGTTTGAATGACTTTACACAGATTGGAATTTTAGATATATACAAACATTTATCAGTGGGCATAGCCGAAGATCTGGTTTTCAAACTTCAATACAGCAACCCTGCAAACTCATTTTATTTTTAACTCATTCAGAGAAAAGCATTTGTGATCTTTGCTGATTTAGAGAACATAATATTGTGAGTACTTTGCTTCATAATAGCAGCTACCTACTCCCCTTTTCACTGTTCTTGGGTTGTTGAGACAGAGGAAATGTGATTCAAGGCTCTGCCCACTGAGCAGCTCTGTGTTAGAGAATTGCTTGTATATGTCCAGATATTCCAATCTTTATTTTATCACTGTTTCACTTTAAATGAATGTCATATGTGGTTGCACTTTCTCAGTAGTACTATTAAGAGTACACCACTTAAAAGAGATGTAGTTATTTTATGTATGATAGTCTATCACGATGAAGCTATGAAAACACAGTTGACTGTGGATCAAATATGCTATGAGTTTTCATTTTCTGTTTTAGTTGTGATGTGTACAGTATTGCTAATAATATTTTTGCTTTTTGTAAATTCTCTTCTAATGCATTGTATTTTTCTTCCACTACACTAAAGCACTTTTTCTTGTGATAGACTATGCTTTGTATGCTAAATTGTAAATAAAATAAGATAGATGTAATATTTGTCATGCGGTTTTCCAGATGGTTTGAGCTCTAATGGAAGAAAATAACGCAATAAAAGAAAATAACAAAAGAAAAAATGTCCTTCTCTGTTTCTGTGAGACTGTATAAAAGGTTCATGCCAGAAATAGAGGCCCACGTGAATCGCAGCAGCATTGTATGATACAATGGACCACGGAGACTCATTCGTCCCAGTTTGTTTGGCTGATGTCTTTCATAAAAGAAGCAAACATGCCTCATTGAGAGAACAGCATGTTCAGGCACATGCGCTAACACAGAAGGAAACCAGGCGTGGTCACATGGGCGGATTTGGTTTTTCTCTGAATTGCAGTTCTTGTCTCTTGACTGATCTGATGCCACCTCTCTTCCTTCCTTTCTTAGGTTGTCTAACACTCTGTTTCCTTCCTCGACTAGCTGATACAATTCATACCAACGTTTAAACAGTGAGTTACACAAGTCAGAGCAACTTCCCGAAATCCACGTCAATATGTGAAGCATACAAGTTATTACACCTGAATCAAATGGGAATTTCTGTTATTCTACATTAGGTTTTGTGATTTGTGTGGGGATTAAAAAACAGGAAGATCTTGTAACATAATGCAGCCCAACAACACTACAAGCCTAAAAACAATCAGCCAAAGATCTTTAAAAGTACTTTTACTGCTTGTTCAATTTTGTTTTCTTTGACATATTTCTTTGATCATGTCTCATTGATGTTGTCACATAAAAGAAAAATGTAATAAGTGATATTGTGAATTACTTCAGCGCTTGAATTAACAGCAAGGCAGCAGAATTTGTCTGCTCTGATTCCACTTCTGGTTGAAGACGGCTCATCTTAAGCTGCAAGTTGATCTAATTTAATGCAGAAAAAAACTAAAAGCCAAAGTGAGGGAACTTGAGTCTTCAGGTATCTGTTGAAATACCTTTGCCAAAATACAGTGGTTGTGTTGCAGGTAACTTCATAGCTTAACTCAAAACAGACGCAAAACAAGTTTAATTAGCGGCTTTATGAATGATGAGGCTGACTTGTAATAAACACTTCAGAGTTTATGATAAACAATCAATCCCATGCATCGGTGAAACAATTGCGAAATAACTTCCATATACTGCATTGCTTTAAGTACCTATACGCCTTACAATAAGAGTTCATTTCAATCAACTTATAACAAGCTGCTCTTTCACTCTGATTTTCACAATAAACCTAATGTGCCCCTCATCAGTGAACATTGTTAATGCTTAGCTCAATGTGATTGCTCATTGTATATGAAAGGCGGAGCGGCACAAAGCATCGCATTTGTAACAGAAATAATGATGAAATAGGTCATACAAAAGGAAATATTTGCTGTATTTTTACCATTACAATTCTAAAGAATATGTTAATTTCCGCAACAGAGATGATAGATAATAATATGTTTGCTTTTTTACAGCTCTGTGCTTTTTTATATTTATATATGATTTACGTTGAGGCATCTGAGAGGAGAATGTTAACTGTAATTTACTCTTGAATCTGAGGGTGTTACTTTCAGGCTGCATACAGCCCTGAAAGTAATAAATCACACATGGGAATAAACCTGCAGCAGTCAACTTGCTCTCAATGCACCACTCACCACACATTGCACAATCATAGACTTAAATTACATTTTAATTTAACCCATTTTTCACACAAGTATTATTTTTAGTCGTAAAGCATTGGACTGCATTACATTGTCGCTGCATATGTTCAGCCCATTCACATTGTGCATTTAAAAATATCACTTAGCGTTCAGTTATTGCCTCTCTTCTAACCTCACTGCTCCAAACTGCTCCCACTAACACCTGTTGACCTCCTGTCCTGTCCTCACTGTGCAGTATACTCACTAATAGATCCTTCCTCCACTTGGATGCCAATTATCTTTAATAAACATCCAGATTCCCGGGGGCTTGAGTCATCACCTACTGTTTCAAAAGAGTGGACCAAGTAGGAGCACACACTGAGGAAGTGCTTGTTCTATAGTTATTTATGTTTGTGGATTTAAAAGGTTTAATCCATTCTGGAAAAACGTTCTCTTTTTTTACTTCAAAGAATGATGTTGTAAATACATTACTGCACTGAATAGAAATGAGTGTGTGCCCTGGTTGCATAATCTCATGGCTTACAGTCAACACTAATGAGAAGAGCCCAACAGTCTACCCTTTAATTACGCTTCATGATTTGTGACAGCCCAACATAAACAATATAACATGCAGAGGAAAGCAAATCCCAGTCCTTTACAACTCACTCGTTTGAACAGACGTTCATTATTTATAATATAGTGAACATAATTATTATAAACACATGATGTAGGTCCAAAGTAGTCTTCTCCTCCAGCAGCTGCTATATTTGGCTGTGTTGTGAATACAGTATCGTTTTTGTGGAAATGTTATGTAATGCCCCTTTGTTTTGTTATTTACATACAGTTTTCTCAATTGTTTCTTAAGATATAACTCAAATTCTAAGAAGTCATAAGAAGTACTTATCAGCATGTTTGATGGTTTTGTTGCGAATAAAGTTTTGATGATTCTTTGTGATCTATTGTTGTGTGTTATGTAACTAATCATACTTGCAAGAACTGGGGCACGATCATGAAATCTCTGATATGGAAAGCAAATGTGCTGTTCAGTCGTCACTCTGACCGCAGAGGCGCAGAGCTCTCACCTTTGTACTCACAAATACAGAATAGGGTTGTATTGCGGTGCCCTATTTTGTTCTGAAACTTTCAGACATTTTGTACAGCTGAAAATGCTCTCTGTGGTTAGGAACTTGTTGAGCAGAGTTTCTGCTTTCCTCTCCCAAATGCCTATGTGATGCCCACATTACAGTGTCATGAGCATAACAAGTCTGTTTTCAAGGGCACAGTTTAAACATTTCAATACTTTCTCTGTGATATTAACAGAAAATATACAGGACATTGGTTTTAACGATTCTATAAAGTTAATAAATAGGTGTAGTATAGCATTTACTTTGTTTGTCACCTATTGACTTCTGTACAGGAAATGGGCCTTACGTCACTGACTCATACTAAGAACTGAAAAGTGTTGAAACATAACAAGAAAAGCCACTAAGGTTGCCTGAACGCAAATACAAAAATAGTGCATCTGTTGACCCTCTAATTTGGTTTCAGTTGGAAAAAGGTTGCTTGTATGATATTGATTTAGTCTTTTACATTGGAAGTTAATTCTAACAAAAGACAAAAGGTCCATGTTGCTTTTGATTGTAACTATTCCAAAGTCAGTAAGCTTTTCAATAATTAAGTAAATAGAGCTCAATACATAACAATATAATACACATCTATACTTCCACAACAGTGCAAACTCCTGCAATATTCTAAAAAAAGACGTTGTGTTTTTTTTATTTGATTGTTTTTGTATTTGAATATTGAATTAAATCAATATAAAAAGGGTTTAAAACCATGACAAACTTTTTTACCGCCTAATTATAAAGGAAGTGACGTAGGGCAGTTCTACTAGACTTCCTGGAGACGGTTGCTACAACAGTTCGTTGCCAACTGTCACTCTACCACTTAACGTTACCTGATGTTTTGTCTACTAGTTTCTGACAGATAATGGCTTTTGTTTCACCCACCAAGAGGGATCAAAACGGAAGTTACACTTTCTCCAGCCGGCCCAGACCTGTGGAGGACAGGTCCAAGTACAGAGAGCCTCCGTCCGAACAGTGAGTTTGTTGATTGATTTGTGCTAAGCTAGGTGCTAACGTTGCTTCAGCGCTACCAGCATTGAATTAAGGCAGGTGGAACTAGCTAGCATACTGTAGCTAACACATCATAATATTCACTCACTTTCACAAACTACAGTTCAGAGGCAAATATTGTACTCTTTTTTACACTACCCTCAATTGACAGCTTTAGTTAGTTTCTAGGTTATTATCCACTGAATAAGATGTAAAGGTCAGGCACTAATAATCTGTCTACATGACTGCACTGTGTTTTTCCTGATGATGTAGGACCCAGAGTAATTATGGGAACATTATGTATGACCGCCGAGTTGTCAGAGGAAACACTTACGCCCAGCAAATCATACCAACTGTAAGTATGAAACACTCGTATCATTGAGCATGACCCCTTGTAGGTTTGCTTCTCTTTCTGACATTATATTTAAATCATGTGCATTATCTTCCCCCTTTGACAGACAGCTCTGCCAGACCCTGTAGAAGTACAGAGACAACAGGAGATCCGGAGGAGAACTGTTGCCACAAAGCGAGCCAGGGAGCAGTGCAGAACCAGGACTCCTGAAGCGCTGCAGGGCAGGAAACACATCGACGTTCAAACAGGCAAGGCTTCAAAACATTACTACTATCATTTGAGTTTCTCAAACGTGCTGTTTGAAACCAAAGTTGTTTTGTAATTCTCTTGCCCTTTAGACCTTTATCTGGAAGAATTAAGTGATGTTATAGTGGCTTCAGATATCGAGTGCCAGACTGATGCTTTCCTGGACAAACCAGCCACCCCGCTGTTCATACCTGCCAAATCTGGAAAAGATGTTGAAACCCAGATAGAGGAGGGAGAGGTAGGAAATTCAGAAAAGTCTTGGAAGTTTGGAAAACACATTACCCTAAATTGTTCAAGGTTTGGAAAGTGCTTGAATAAAAATGAACATGTCAGCACAATCTGGTGTTTCATCTTCACAATCACTCCATAGACACTTCATAGTTCTAGAACAACACATTTCAGACAATATTTAAAATGAAATGCTTGCAGGATAAAAAATAACCCTTGTGTATCAAGAAAAAACCCTTATTCTGAGTATGCTCTGCAGTTGTTTGACTTCGACAGGGAGGTGCAGGCGCTGCTGGAGGTGCTGGTGGGGAAGACGGTGGAGCAGTCCCTGGAGGAGGTGATGGAGGAGGAGGAGCTGGCCGGTCTGAGGGCACAGCAGAGGGCCTTCAGAGAGCTGAGGAACAACGAGCTGGAGGAGGTGCTGCGGCTCAAGGAGCAGGAGAGGCGCAGCAGTAAAGAAAAGGTATGGCAATGAAAATTCACTTTTTAAACCATTAAATAGGAGGAAGTCTATCCCAAAGCTTGAATATCAGGATAAACCAGGGACT